ACACACAGACACAGACACACACACACACACACACACACACACACGCAAATGAGTTTTATAGATGAGCTGGGCATGGTGGTGCACATTTTTATTCCCGGTACTCAGAAGGCAGAAGCAGGAAGGCACAGGCAGCTCTGTGAGTTCAAGGTTAGCCTGGTCCATGGAGGGAGGGAGAGAAAGAGAAAGACTGACTCAAGTAGCCCAGTTTGGTCTACATGGGTTCTGTGAATTTGAACTCGGGTCCTCATGCTTGTGCTACAAATACTTTCCTGACTAAGCCATCTCCCCAGCCCCTAAGAGATGGCTCAGCAGTTAATTAAGAACACTGACTGCTCTTGCAGAAGACCCAGGTTCGAGTCTCAGCACCCACATGGTGGCTATGAACCATCCTTAACTCCAGTTCCAGGAGAATCTGAAGCCCTCTTCTGACCTCCGTGGCATTGCATGACACATGTGCACTCACATACATGAAGGCAATACACTCATACACATAAAATAAAAATAATATGCTGGGCATGGTGGCCACACCTTTAGTCCCAGCACTCAGGAGGCAGAGGCAGGTGGATCTCTGTGAGACTGAGGCCAGCCTGGTTTACACAGTAAGCTCCAGGCCAGCTGGGGCTATGCGAGACCCTGTTTCAACAGCACCCCCTCTCAAAATCACTAAATTATTTGTCTTTCACTGACCCAAGCCAAATAAACCTGGGAATGGTGGCACATGCCTTTAATCCCAGTACTCTGGAGGCAGAGGCAGGAGGATCTCTGTGAGCCTGGTCTACATAGCGAGTTCTAGACCGACCAAGGCTACATAGTGAGACCGTGTCTCGAAAATAAAATGCAATGAAATAAAATATAAATAAAAATTATGATGTGACTATGAGGAGAATGGGAAGTCCCACATGAATCCAAGCACTGGTGACAGACACCTGTAATCCCAGCATTCCAGAAACAGGTAGGAAGATCAAGAGTTTGAAGCCAGGGACTGGAGAGCTGGCTCAGCAGTTACCAGCACTGGTTGCTCTTGCAGAGGACCAAGGTTCAGTTCCCAGCACACACACCGTAGCTAACAACTGTCCATAACTCCAGTTCCAGAAGACCTGACACCCTCTCTGTCCTCCATAGGTGTTGCACGCATGTCGTGCACTTATATACATTCAGGCAAAATACTTAACATACATAATAAAATAAAAGTAAATTTTAAAAAAATTAAACCTAGTCTGGCCTACAGAGTGAGACCCTGCCTAAAACAAACAAACAAACAAACAAACAAACAAACAAACAAACAAACAAACAAACACCCCACAACCCGTGAAGGACTACAGTCCAGTAGTAGACTGCCAGAGAGGGGTTGGGGTGGGGGCCTCTATGATCTCAGGTTTCAGCACCAACCAACCAAGCCTGGGAGGGTCCTGTGGGGTCCTGAGGGAGGTGAGCTGCAGTGAGTGAGATCAGGGAAGCCAATCCTAGTCAGAGAAGTAAGACAGAGCTGTGAAGAGAGACAAGGAAAACATAAAAACTGCTGTATTGGAGCTGACTGGGAGGGACCAGGCAAGGACGACCCCAGACACTACCAGTATTGGCCACCGGGGGGCAGACAAGTGCTGCTTCTGGATTTTTCTCCAGCTAGGAATTTAGGGGACAACAGGGCATGCTGGGGACCTGGCGGGGGGCCAGAGTCAAATCACCTGGGGTTCCAGGGTTTCTATCCCAGGT